CCCCCGCCGTCCCAGCTCCCCAACATGAGTGATGACGCAGCAGTGTGTCCCCACTACAAAGAGAGAGGCGTCAGGAAACAAGCGCTTGAAGGTAGAGCCGACAGGCACCGCCACAAAGAAAGAACACATTTAATTACATTTGAGGCTTTTCACATTCAGCAAGAACACCTGTAGTTTGTGTTTTGTTACTCCCCTGGTCTTGTAATCGGCTTTGGGCCAATGCAAACACAAAGGTGCTGTGGGCTCTGGTTGATGTGAGGAACTGAGATTTTAGATTTCTCCCTCTGCTGGGTGGTTTTCTCCTTTGCCCAAGTTCCCAGATTCTCAAAACTCTAAGATGAGTTTCCGAGGGACGAGAGAGGAAAATATGTAAATACTCAGGAAGATTAACATCAGATAGCAGTTAAGATTGTTTCTGTGGTCTTTGAGTTGGCAAATGAATCGGTTTGAAATCCGTGACTCGTGTGCCCAGCTGTCTGTGGATTATATGTGGGCACAAAAGGACAGGACAGCCACCGGGAACGCACAGTGCCTCGGGACTGCGAGCACCCTCTCCCATTTAAGCCATGGTAAGGTCCTCAGATCAACCTTGAGAAGAAAAAGCCTTGAATCGAATCCCCGAGAAGTAAACAGCTCCTAACAGCCTGCAGAAGGGTTCATGGAAACGTCATGTAATTACAGCTCATGCGTCTTCCGAGGGACTGGACCAAAGTCATCCCTGCCTTGCAGAGAGAGGACCCCCACAGCAGCCCACACCAAGAGCTAAAGGCGGCGCCTCCTCAGTAATAGGGTCAAGCAGTGTCAATCACCCTCTCTTCCTTAAACCCAAACATATAAATTTACTTTAGGCCCAAACTCGATCGTCAGAGTGTTACAAGGGATGGGAGGGCGATTCATTTGTTTATGGACCCCTGCCCTAGGACTTGTCGGCTTGGTTGTGACAACTTGGGGAGGCTGAGGAGGAAGAGCGAGGGAAGGAGAGGGGCTAGAGAGGGAGGAACCCGCCTGGGCCCTGCCTGCAGTGTGAACTTTGGACAACCTTAGCTTCCCCAGCACTGCATTTTCAAAACAGCCAAGGGATTGGAAAGAGTTGGATTTGAGCTGCCCAGGAAAGGGGTTCTGAGTGCCGGGCTGCGGGGTGAGGTGTAGGGAATGCGGGGAGGGGGCTTTCTATCCGGTGCCATCTTTCCGACAAGTGGAGTTACTGGAAGAGTCTGTGCCAAGCTGAAGTGCCCCTGAAGGGCAAAGGGACTGCAGTGTTCTGTCAGCGATAAGGCCAGAACTGGGTTGTGGACGGTCAGTGCAGAAGCCTGGATGCCAGTACCTTATGGTTATGTATGTATGCATTTATGTATGTATGTATGTGTTATGGATACACGGTGTGTACACATGTACGTGTGCAAACACACCGTGTAATGGGGACATGAGATTTGAATCGGGGAAAAACTCTCCAGAAATTTCCCCCCTGCTCATTTAGAGAGACATCAAGCTTGTCCGAATTTCTGGATAATAAATTCATTACACGGCAATCACAACCGGGAGGTTATTTTAATAGGAGCTCCACCAGAGGGCTGCCGGCATGAAGGGATCTCAGGGTCCTTGGGCCTTTCCTTCAGTGGCACTGATGGAAAAGTGTGGAATAGTCCAGATTCGACCAGAGTTAGATTTCTCTTAAAATAACATGCTCTCGGGTCTCCTTTAAACTTCCTACATTTCATGGCACTTTTGTGGGGGAGGCATTTTTCAGCTAACACTTTTAGTCCTTAGATAAGGGCACAGGATCTAGAAGAGCCTCACTATATCCACTTATACAGGTATTACGTGTTGCAAGTGCACAGTGAATTAATTCCTTCAGTTCCCATTCCCAACAGCTAAAATGAATCAGTTCTTAGGAACCCACTGGCTTGACGGTAGTTGAGAAAATAACAGAAAGCCTCAACGGTCTGGGAGCCAGTGGGCTTCTCTCTCAGGAGTTCCTGCCCCCACCTCTACCTCCCCCATCCCACTACCAGCATTTCACACCTGAACTCGGCTGCTTTGACCAAGATGCTTTTCTTGCTTTTCTTCAGAAACCTTAACTTCTCAATTTGGCATCCAAAGCCCTCAACAGCCCATTTCCAAATAGCCTTCCCAGCACTGTCTTGTATTAGAAGTCTCTGTGTCACTCTAACAGTTCTGTATTTTCTTTCCTTTTTTGGATCTAAACTCTTTTTTTTTTTTTTTTGCATCTGTAGCTCTCATTGAGTTCCTTCCACCAGGGATCCCCTCCTTCATCTCTGTTTCAATGGATTCAGCCTTCAATATCTGGCTGATATCTTTTTTTATCTTACAATCATCTCTGCCCACCGCTTCCAGAAATGATTTCTCCTTCCTCTGCCTGTAGTAATTACTCTGATCATCGCATTTCACGTGTCAATGAACAATATTTTGTCTTTTGACATCTCTCCTATTGTTATTTAATTTTTATATGTATTTCTTCTTCTCATATGAGTTGTAAGCTCACGGAGAGCCAAGACTATCCTATACATTTTTATATCTCCCATGTGTACTAATATTTCTTGATATTAATTAAAATTAAGTTTTGATTCATATATAGTTAATGTTCAACATTAAAATATTCTCATACTTACCAGTATGAGCAATGATTGAGTGATTTGGAGTTATACTCTTCCCTCATGCCTAGAATTTATAGTAATAATTCATTTTCCTATAGCCTAGTCAATATTTTTATATCAGCATTTGAAAATAGTTTACAGATGCAAGGTAGGCTCATGAGATAAACAAATTTATACCATACCTACTCAGTAATGAATAAAGAAGGGCATAGGTAAGAGGTCTTCCAAAGGGGCCATGAATGTCCACATCTCTAAAAAGCACTACCTAATTTTCATAAATATTCAAGGTGAGTGAGTGGCCTTTTTTTTTTTTTTCCCCCCCGCCAGCCTTCATTTAAGACACTAGATATCCAGGCATTTCTGCCCTGGGAGAATGGCTGATGACTTGAATCCGGTTTCAATTTCTAGGTTAAATTCAAGGCCCACACAGTAATGGGTTATAGACATCCAACCCACCTATGGTTGTAAACTATGAACTTGGTGCAGACCTTTCCATTCTTGAGTTGACTTGGCTAGAAAATGAGAGAAAAAAATAAACAGGAGTAGCCTTCCTGGACTACTGCTGGGAGGTAGGCCAAAGGAAACCTGGGGGGAATTTCCATGAACAGCCCCAAGCAATGTATCAATCACATCAGTAAGTTAGTAAAATTTGCCTCGAGGCTGATAATAGGTGGTGGGAT